AGGAGGGAGGGGGGAGGTCAGGGAGGGCTTCCTGGGGGAGGGTGCTGGAGGCTTTGGGCAGGTAGAGAGGAGATGGGATACGGTGGAAAGCAGTGACCCGTTCACCCGGGAGGCCTTGTCTGAACCCCAGGGAGTGTCAGAGGACTTGGCCTTGCTCCTGGCGTGGCCGTGCATTGGATATGGTGGGGAGTGGTATCTGAGTTGCTCTTGTCCTTCAAGAACCATGTTGGGTGCCCCTTCCTCATGGAAGCTTTCTCTGAGTTCCCCACCCCCCTCCTTCTGAAATCCTAAGACATGTTGTTTTTCACTTGGTGCCCTTAGTTCAGATGGTAGGATGGCCTAATGTAGAACTGTGTGATTCAAGGCAGTCACCTAACCTCTCTGAGCCTCACATTACTCCTCTGTACCATGGAGATAGTGAAATGCTCCACCTGGAGGAGTTGGGGAGATGTGAGCAGTGTGGGCTGGCCCCTATGGAGTGGCTGAAGAGTGACTAGTACATGTTCCCGCCCCCTCCGTGTCCCCCAGTGTGGCCATCCTGTTGTATCTGTGTCGCAAGTATGAGGTCCCTGACCACTGGTACCCTCAGGACCTGCAGGCCCGTGCCCGTGTGGATGAGTACCTAGCATGGCAGCACACGGCCCTACGGAATAGTTGCACACGAGCCATGTGGCAGAAGGTGAGCTATGGCAGGACGGGGACTCTTCTAGGATGCTCAAGGGACAGTGCTTTCTGTTTAAAACATTTTGTTCAGGGGCGCCTGGGTGGCGCAGTCGGTTAAGCGTCCGACTTCAGCCAGGTCACAATCTCGCGGTCCGTGAGTTCGAGCCCCGCGTCAGGCTCTGGGCTGATGGCTCGGAGCCTGGAGCCTGTTTCCGATTCTGTGTCTCCCTCTCTCTCTGCCCCTCCCCCGTTCATGCTCTGTCTCTCTCTGTCCCAAAAATAAATAAACGTTGAAAAAAAAAAAAATTAAAAAAAAAAATAAATAAAACATTTTGTTCAGAACCGAGGCCTTAGAACACCAAATTCTAGAATCCCAGAGACTCCCTAGTCCAACCAACTTGTTTCCCAGAGGGGAAACCGAGGCAGAACTAGGGAGTTGACTTTGCCCAATGTGCTCTGATTCTTGAGCTGGTGAGAATCAATTTTATGCCCTTTGGTATCCTCCAGACTGCCTGGAGACATTGCCTTTTGGGAGAGAAAAAAAGTCAAACCCTCTAACCACACACATACTTTTCAAGTAGGGAAGTGTTAAATGAAAAATCTTAAACTAAGCAGAGATGAGGAGACATCTCAATAAAGTTGATTCGATTTCTGGGTATTCAAGGATTTCTAAGCCTAAGAACACTGAAAAACTCAAAGAAGAGCCTAACAGATTGTACACATACAATGATTTTGTGTAAGAGGAAAGAATTAGACTTAAAATAAGCAAAAAACTGGCAAGGATTTGTTATAAAGAAGTAACATTCTTCTTTTTTTTTTTTTTTTTTTTTTTTTTCAAAAAAAATGTTTTAAGTTTATTTCTTTTGAGAGAGTGAAGAGAAGGACCAGGGGAGGGGCAGAGAGAGAGGGAGAGAGAGGATCCTAAGCAGGCTCCATGTTGTCAGTGCAGAGCCTGATGCAGGGCTTAATCTCACCAACCATGAGATCATGACCTGAGCTGAAATCAAGAGTTGGACGCTTAACCAACTGAGCCACCCAGGTACCCTGAAAGAAGTAACATTCTTTAAAAAAATTTTTTTTAACGTGTATTTATTTTTGAGAGACAGAGAGAGACAGAGCATGAGCCGGGGAGGGGCAGAGAGAGAGGGAGACAGAATAGGGAGCAGGCTCCAGGCTCCGAGCTGTCAGCACAGAGCCTGACCTGGGGCTCAAACCCACAAACCGTGAGATCATGACCTGAGCTGAAGTTGGATGCTTAACAGAAGAAACACCCCAGAAGTAACATTCTTACTATTTAAGATGCTCTCAGAATGCCATCAAACAAAGGCACAGGAGAAAAATGGGCACAAGAAACCAGCAGGGATTTAATTGAAGGACAGAGAGAGATGGTCATTAAATGGATGAAAATACATTTAACCTAAGAATCAAGTAAATGCACATTTAAGCAGGACACAGATAACCATTTTTACCCATCAGATGTACAGATGTTTTTGAAATGTGTGCCCTGAGTTATTATTTTTAGGGTACTTACAAAGGGCCCAGCACACAGTGGGTGCCCTGTGCATGTGAGGGAGCATGCGATGGCATGCTCATACTCTGCTGTAGGTAGAGAATCATTGTTCTGAAGGGTCGTTGGGCAAAACGCAGGTTTCTGTAACCTTAGAAATGCCTTCCTTGAAGCCTCGTGGGGCTGAGAGAGGAGCCCCCTCAAGCTGGTAGGGGCAGGAGCCTGGTGCGTTTGAAGGCAGAATGGAGAGTAGTCAAGTAGAGTGAATATAGACCTTCACTACTCAAAGTGTGGTCCAGGGACCAGGAGCATCAGCACCACCTGGGAGCTTGGAAATGCACAGTCTCAAGCACCACACAGGCATACAGATTAGGAACGTGCACTTTAATCAGATCCCAGAAGGATTGGCATGCGTTGTCCCATTTGAGAAGCCTGGGGTGGAGAAGGAGGTGGGGAGTGGGGAGAGGGTGACTGTGGTGCTGAGGAGGCGCCTGGTGGAGGCTTTCATGGTGACGGTAGTGGGGAGCCATGGAAGGCTTTATGCAGGGGGTGATATGGGCAAACTGGGATTGCAGAAGATCCCCGTTCTGCGCCCCCCCCCCACCCCCAGCTGCCCTGCAGGAGGACCTAGGGAGTGGTGGAGGCTGTCCATGTTGGAGTAGGAGATGAGGCCTGGGCTGGTGGTGGCCATGGGTGGATGGAGTGGGTGAGTGTGAGGAGAAATTTGAAGGCCTGGTGATAGATTGGATGAGAGCAGGAACCGGCCCTGCACTTTGGGCAGACCCTGAGCCCTTTCTCTGCCTGCCCACCCACCAGATGATGTTCCCAGTGTTCCTGGGCGAACAGGTGCCCCCTGAGACTTTGGCATCTACTCTGGCTGAGCTGGAAAGGTGCCTGCAGCTGCTTGAGGACAAATTCCTAAAGGACCAAGACTTTCTTGCTGGACCCCACATCTCAGTGGCTGACTTGGTGGCCATCACGGAGCTGATGCATGTGAGTGCCATGGGGGAGGGTGGTCCACTGGGCAGTGGGGTGTCCTGGGAGGGTGCCAACATACCAGCTCACATTGCCCTTTCTGACTGTGCGGCCCTGGGCAAGTCACTTCCCTCTCTGAGCCTCAGTGTTCTCATCTGTAAAATGGGGTTCAAGACCCTATCCTGCAGTGATATTGAGAAGCTTCCTAGTGTCTCCTGGGAGAGAACCTCCAGCCTATTCCATATGTGGCAGAGGAGGGAAAATCCACCCAGGGGAATCCCTCAACCAGGTCATGCTGCCTCGTGCTTGTCCATGTGTAGCCACTCCACCTGGCTCCCTCTTCCCATAGCCTGTCAGTGCTGGCTGCCAAGTCTTCAAAAGCCGACCCAAGCTGGCTGCATGGCGCCAACGCGTGGAGACCGCCGTGGGAAAGGACCTCTTTCAGGAGGCACATGCAGTTGTCATGAAGGCCAAGGACTTGCCTCCAGCAGACAGTGCCATAAAGGAGAAGCTGAAGCCCTTGGTGCAGGTTTTGTTGCAGTGAGTGGAGGACCAGGCCTGCAGAGATGATGGAGACTCTGTTGTTGGAAGAAGACATGGAATCGCCCCTCCTAGGCTATGAGCAAGGCCTGCTGTCCAGCCTCTGGCCCTTAGTTCCCTCCATGCATGAGATCTTCATTCCTCCTTTTGTCTGTCTCCTCACTCCACTCCTGCCCCTTCCACCCTGGCTTCATGTGACCCCTGGAAAGAGCTTTAGTAAACACATATTTGTCCCCCTTGTGTTTGAAACTTCTGGTGGTGCCTTACTGCTCTGAGGCTAAAGTATGAATCATTGAACTTTGCATTGCCCACCCCTCCAGGGCACCCCCTTCTGGTTGCACACAGTAGCCCATCATTTTAGACCCCTTCTCCCAGCTGCCACCCCCACCTCCAGTTCCTGGCCTTAGCTCAGGCTGTTTCCGTTGCTTATAGGACCCCTCCTCACCTTGCCTGGTGCCCCTCCTGGTCTTTAGGCATTTGTCACCATGTTGTTTCTCCAGTGAGACTTCCCTGACTTCCCTAGCCCCAGGCCAAGTCCAGTGACCCCCTGGGCTCCTCAGCCCCAGACCTTCCCTCTTTCAGTCCTAGAACAGAGTTGGTTCCACACCCCCTGGGCTGACCACCTATCTCAGCTGGGGGTTGACCTGGGGAAGGGATGTCTGAATCGGACATGGACTTCATCTCTTAGGTCTCTGTCATCCCTCTGGGGTGATGCTGTCTCCCAGAGGTGGGGTGGAAGGTTGGTTTATGAAGTGCCTTGCAAGGAGGGAAGTCCCGGATTAGTTCCTGGCCCTCTGGGTGCTGCTGAGAGGCCTTATTCTCCCAAGCCTACTCGTAACCCCAACCAATGTCTTATCTATGCCCCACCCTGGGTCCCAGACTTGCCACCTGTCTCTCTCCTTTCTCCTCAAGATTATCACAATCCATCTGTCTTGTGTTCTAGACTCTCTGATAGCCTAGTCATCCAACAAACTGTTAATGGGACTGGGTCCTGAACAGAGCCTCTCAGCCTGCCTGCCTTCTCATGGAGGCTCGCTCCACCTTTTATTTTTTAATGTTTATTTTTGAGAGAGAGAGAGCAGGCAAGGGTCAGAGAGAGAGGGAGACACAAAATCTGAAGCAGGCTCCAGGCTCTGAGCTGTCAGCACAGAGCCTGATGTGGGGCTTGAACTCACAACCTAAGCTGAAGTCAGACGCTCAACCGACTGGGCTACCCAGGCACCCCATCTTTTTTTTTTTTAAGATTTTATTTTTAAGTAATCTCTATGCACAACATGGGGTTCGAACCTACAACCCTGAGATCAAGAGTCGCATGCTTCACTGACTGAGCCAGCCAGGCGCCCCAAGGCTCCTTTAATATGCACACCCACATAGAATTTTAGAAGTGTAATTGAGATTATTTATACACACCCACACAATTTCAACTGTATTTTCATTTACAATTCAGACAACTTTGCAACACTGATGAGAGTACCATGTTTAGCCATATCAACAGGTTTCCATGTGCTAAGTAACACATTTTGTTTTGACTATAAAAATATAGGGTACTGTAAACATGGCTGGCAGTTTGGCTAGGACCTGGCTTTCACCCCCTTGGTGGATACTACTTCAGCATGAAACAAGGTTACCACAGGTGCAAGAGGGCACAAAGGCAGATAGATGTCTGTGGTGAGCCAGAGTTCTCTACCCAGCCTCACCTGAATTCACAAGTGTCACTTGGCTCCTGGTCAAGAGAAGTGCAGATTTTCACACATAATGTGAAGTTGCCTAACTTGGAAATGGTGGTAACGTGGCAAAAAAAAACAAAAAAAACAAATTAGGATGGAGACTGGGAAAGGTCTCACAGGTGTGTGTGTTCTGCGTGTGTGTTCAGACCCACATTCTGTGAAACTCAATAAAGGAACCTTCATTTAAAATAAAGTTGGGAGGCCAGAAGGGGGAGCTCTCACACCTATTCCTCCTCGCAACCCTTTACCACTCCAAAAGGAAGAGACTTACCTTGCATTCCCAAGGTGAGAAGAGTATATACTACCCGCAGGGGAAAGAAAGATCCCCGCCCGGAAACAGTCCAGCCAATGAGATTGACTGTCACAGTTCTGCTACTGAAAAGCCATTGCACTTTTAACTCCCAGTTTATTCCCACGTACTTTTTTGTTTTTAACAGTCCTTCCCAATTCTTCCCTTTTCTCTGTAAAAAACAAAAACCAAACCAAACCAAAACAAAACAAAACAAAAAGTTTCTCTTCTTTGTTGGCTGGATTTTCCTATGGTTTTGCCTCAGGCTGCATGTCCCAAATTGCAATTTTCTGCTATCCTCGAACAAATAAAAAATTTCCCCCCGTTTTTACAGGTAAAATAACGGGCTATTTTATTTTCAAGGTTAACAAACTAAAAATGGATTAAGAAGCAGAGGACTGCAGCACCTAAAAGCCCAGTGAGCCAGAAAACCCCTGGCCAATGTGGCTGGAGCCAGCAGAGCCTGGGACACGGTTGGGTGGGGCCATGGCTTACCCAGTGTCTTTGGGGGAGGGTCACGAGCTCCACTCGTCCCCGCCTGCCTAGGACTTCCGGAAATCTGCGCCAGCAGAGGCGGGGTGTGGACTATGCAGCCAATCCCGGGGCCCTGCGTGTCTGCCCAGCCAATAAGGAGCCTGGTTTCCGTGGCGCCCCGCCACTGCTGTCTATTCCGCGACCCACGGGAACATCGATCTGTACCCTGTGTGTTCTTTCTCTGCTCGTGTGGCCTGTGCAGTTCTTTCCCACCAGACATGCCGTTTGTTGAGTTGGATACCAACTTGCCCGCCGGCCGTGTGCCCGCCGGACTGGAGAAGCGGCTCTGCGCGGCCACTGCAGCCATCCTGAGCAAACCTGAGGACGTGAGCGTGGACCGGGGAGCACGGGGCGGGATGAGGCTGGTGGACCAGGGGTCGGGCTCTGTCCACGTCCCGGCTTCCCTCACCGCAACCCGGGCTCCTCGTCACAGGGATCCCCGGCCTCCCTCTCTCTGTGACCCCGCGGCACCACCCCTCATGTCTGCTCCTTGCTGCCTTCCCTGGCCCTGAAACCAACATGACCTCCAAGGACCCCGCCCCGAGCCTCTAGCCCTGACCCCAGGGATCCATGCTTGTAGGGTCTTGCCCTCCCAGGTCCTCAGAGCAACTCGGCCTGTACAAGCTTCAGGCGAAACTTTCCTGTTCTCCGCAGCGCGTGAACGTGACCTTGCGACCAGGTCTGGCCATGGCGGTGAACGGCTCTACCGATCCCTGCGCGCAGCTGATCATCTCCTCCATCGGTGTGGTGGGCACGGCCGAGGAGAACCGTGGACACAGCGCCCGATTCTTCGAGTTCCTCACCAAGGAGATGGGCCTGGGCCAGGATCGGTGCGTGGGGGCAGGGAGAAGATGGGGGCAGTGATCCCATTCCAAGGCCCCTTGCAAGGCTGGGGGTAAAAAATGCACTCTTCTCCCTGCTCAAGAAGGGCCTAGGGCCCTAGGTCCTCGGATGGTATGTCTACCCTCAGAATGGTAGTGGAATTGAATGAATTCCTGGCTATGCCATGGTTCCCTTGACATGTGGGCAAGGCGTGGCTTCTCCAACCCCAATGTTTCCATCTGTGAAGTGGGAAGGCTCTCCTTTACTTCCTGGGGGAGTTGCCAGAGTCGTGTGAGATGGCAGTGCCCTGTATCTCCCTTGGCACCCTGCAGGGTAGAATGTTATTGACCTGACAAAGCTATAACCATTTATCATCTGCCTTTAGTCTTCTCCACAACTTAGAAAACCAAGAGTAATTTAATAGGAGAGCTTCTCCAGGCTGGTCAGGAGGGATTCTGGGAATGTCCTGAGGCTGTGTGACCTTTGGCCGTGTAGCCCAGCTAGGTCCCAAGTGAGGCTCCCAGGAGGGTCAGGGAGTAGTGGAAAGGACATTGGCTTGGATGTCTGGAGACCTGGGTTCTAGGTCCAGTGCAGCTGGGGGATGCCTGACAAACCTGAAAGTGAACCATCTCTGGTTTGTAGCCTTTTTTCTGTGAATAGAGGGGCATGTATTTTTTTTTTAAATTTTTTTTTAACGTTTATTTATTTTTTTGGGACAGAGAGAGACAGAGCATGAACGGGGGAGGGGCAGAGAGAGAGGGAGACACAGAATCGGAAACAGGCTCCAGGCTCTGAGCCATCAGCCCAGAGCCCAACGCGGGGCTCGAACTCACGGACCGCGAGATCGTGACCTGGCTGAAGTCGGACACTTAACCGACTGCGCCACCCAGGTGCCCCTAGAGGGGCATGTATTAAATGATCATCCAAGAAGACCATACAGCCCCCAAACATGGGATTCTGTGGCAGGGCTAAAGTTTCTTCCTGGGTGAAAAATATTCCTGCGCCAAGCCCATGCCTATGAGGAACTAAGAGCATGAGAAGCTTGAAAGAACCTTCCAGAATGGATCCTTTGTTAGCCCAGGAAGGCTGGTGAGGAATAGTCACTCCTGGGAGTGCTCAGACCTGGTCCTCAAGCTGGGGTGAGATAATAATTGTAACAACAATACGTAACATATGAATGCCTACCATGTGCCAGCTTATCTATAGCTACCTTGTATGCATGATCCCGTTGGATCCACGCAAGCCCTACCCCTCTGTTCACATCGCCTTGTGCGGACATGCCATCCCCATGAGGTTTGCAGATGGGAAAACTAAAGCTGTCACACACAGTCCTTCCCCTACTACCCCTTAGACTATCCCAAGTATCCTGCTCTTCATCAGGAACTTCCCATCACTTCTATGAGAGGGGCATGTTTATTCACTCCATAGACATGGGGGGGGGGTCACCCTATGACTGGTTTTGAGCTAGCCTTTGAGAAAACAAAGGTGTCTGGGGCACTGCACATGCCCCCAGGGGGCCTGGAGTTTGAAAGCAGGAGGGCTGCCCCTCTGAGTTTACAGAACATGCAGTGACCATAAAGGCTGCTGCGTCGAGTGTCTGTCCAGGGACAGCCACCATCCTGCTTCTGACAGGCCTGCAGGCTTCCAAAATGCCCTCTAGGCTAAGGCAGGCTGGTCAGGGAACCCATGGTGGGAGTGCCTGGCTAGGGGTCTTGGAATATGAAGCATTAGCCAAGGAGCTAATGACATCTTTTTTTTTCTTTTTCTGTCTCTTGAAGGATAATTATCCGATTTTTCCCCCTGGAGCCCTGGCAGATTGGCAAGAAAGGGACAGTCATGACTTTTCTATGATTGACACAGAGGGCATCTAGGACATCTGTGAGCTTTCTGCCCCTTCCAGAGAGGCCTCCTGGCAGAGGAAGGGCCTAGTGGATACCAGCTTCTGGCACCCCTTCATGCAGATATGCCTGTGGCCTCACAAGTCTTCTTCCTCCCCATCCTTGTGTCAAATAAATGAAGAGATCTTCTTTCTTTTCTTCTTCGTTTTTTAAATGTTTATTAATTTATTTTGAGAGAGAGAGAATGTGAGTGAGGGAGGGGCAGAGAGAGAGAGGGAGAGAGAGAGAATCCCAAGCAGGCTCTCCACTCAACAGAAGCCTGACTTGGGCCTTGAACTTGAGACCATGACCTGAGCCAATATGAAGAGTCGGATGCTTAACCAAGTGAGTCACCCAGGTGCCCTGCGACCTTCTTTCAAACATGACTTCTTTATCTCCTTTCACCCCTCCCTGGCATTCTCTGTCACCCTGGGCAGTGGTGTTGGTTTATGAGGTGGGAACTTTAGGGAACCTGAGAGATGGGATCTTTTCTGTCTTCGGGGCCACTGTCTCATGTATTGTATGTAGGCTGTTCAAATCCAAGTGTGGAAGGTGAAGCCTAGGGCCCTGCTCTCCATGCCCTGTGCAGGTTGGTTGGGCGGGCACTGATCCAGCTTGGGTCTTCCTACAGATTTTGCTAACCAGATGTTCTTGCCGTCAGCTTGGGTTGGCCCATGCAGTTTACTGCCCATGGAATGCTGTGCTCAGCAGGAGAGCAGGATGGCTGGGCTTCTGGGACCTTTCCTGGGCATTTCGAAACTCCCATCTTCTCCTATGAGTCTTGCTAAAAATTCTCGGTGGCTGTGTACCTTGTAAAACCCATGTCCTGGAATGGTAAACCTGGAAATACAATGTCTGCCATTAGAAACGGAATGAATGCAATCCCCGCCCCAACTCTAAATACTCTATCATACTTTCCATTTTCAGGGATATATGGGCAGGGTGCAAAGGGTGTCCTTTTTGGTTTCTTTCCAGATGTTTGATGCAGAGTTTACATATCATGACCCTTAGACACTGTGATGGGCACTGTATTTCCCTACAGAGTTGAAGGCCTGATCATTCTTGTCTTTAGTGTACCAGTGAAATACCAAATTGAGATTTTAAGTCTGTCCTGTTAATATAGTTAGTAAAGTTAGTTTCCAGTGGAGTGTTCTTGTGCCTGTGGTGTTTCTCCCTGACCACTGCTGTGGAATGCCATTAACAGAGCTTGGAGTTCCTTCCTTTGGCCCCCTGTCCCAACTGTTCCTGCACTCATTCCTTCTGCCAACATGGGTGTCCTGCTTCCCAAAGGGGCTCAGGGAATGTTTGTATCATTGAATGAATGGTTGAAGTGCCCAAGAAGGGATTCAGGCCTAACCCTAGCCAGGACTATAAGGCAGCAGCCTTCTACCTGGTCCCACCTTAAATGTCTTATCCCCACTGTAGTGAGTGTGATGTCATCTATTTGCTGTGGGGACGACTGTCCCTCCCCCCTCTCCACATTAGCCCCATTGTGGCCTTGAGCTTTGCCCCCTGGTAATACTGTGCTTCCTGAGGATCCAGCATGGCTTGCAACCTCCAAAAGCTTGCCACATAGCTCTCTATGGGACCACTCTCCCATCTTTTTTCAACTGTTTCAAGAGCTATTTCAAGATACAACTCAGGAATGAGAGCTGCATCCAAGGATGGGTGTTATCCATGAAACTTTGAAACCGTCTGTTTATGCCTCTGTCCACTGCCCCTCCCTCCAAGGCAAAGTGAAGGTTTGTGACTCAATTCTTTTTGAAACTCCCGGGTAGGGGCGCCTGGGTGGCGCAGTCGGTTAAGCGTCCGACTTCAGCCAGGTCACGATCTCGCGGTCCATGAGTTCGAGCCCCGCATCGGGCTCTGGGCTGATGGTTCGGAGCCTGGAGCCTGTTTCCGATTCTGTGTCTCCCTCTCTCTCTGCCCCTCCCCCGTTCATGCTCTGTCTCTCTCTGTCCCAAAAATAAATAAACGTTGAAAAAATTAAAAAAAAAAAAAAAAAAAAAAAAAAAAAAAAAAAAGAAACTCCCGGGTATCACTAAGGCTTTATTGTTCTGAACTGGCGCTTTGAATTCTTCACCATGATGTTACCATCTTTATGTAAGGTCAAAGAGAAAGCCATAACCTTCATTCCTGTTTAAATCATGGTTGCTGGAATCAAGAAAGGCTGGAAAGGCTGTGAAGTCTTTCTCAAAAAAGCTTCGCTCCCAAGAATTTAACCTCTCTCAGCCCAAGGCCGTTTTCAGGAAACTTTCAATGCGAATCCTCCTTTAGACTTTGGAATTCTGTCACTCCCTGGATAGACCGTTCGTCTACCCGGCCTTGATTTTTTGTGATTTTTGTTTTGGTTTTTCCTTTGTTTCATAGTTGATTGTATCTGTGCCTTCTGGGCTTCAAATTCTTTTCTGAAAAAGATGAGGCACGGGGTAGTAGAAAGGAGAACCCTCCTCCCCTGGTTCCAAGTGTTCCCCAAGTTTACATTGCCTTCAGAGTACCTGTGTCAGGTTGTAACAAACGATAACACGGCCCGTCGTCATTTAGCTACTGCTCAGGGCCGGGCACCGAACTCGGCGCTTCCCAAATATTACAAGCGATGGGGCGTGGAGTCCGACTGCAAGCTGGCGCTCCGAGTCCACAATAGTTCGAGTACCAAAAAGCAAGGACCTGGAAGGTTTACACTCCCGCGCTAGGCTGTTTGCAGCTCGCAGGGTCCACGAGAGCCTGCGCGGCGAGCGAGCAGCGCGTGCGCCCTCACTGATTGGCTAACGGAGCCGGCAACGGAGCCAATGGGAACGCGCCTTATTGTCAGGCGGGCGGCCAGCCGGCTTGGGGGTCGCGGCAGGCAGGCCGTTGCCGTGGAGACGCCTGGTGAGTTCCAGGACTGCAGGTTTGGGGGCATCCCTCTGGTGGGGGTGCGGCTCTGCCGAACCAGCGGCAGCAGCGGGGGCCCGAGCTTGAGGGGCGGCGGGCGGACGGGCCGAGGCTGGTGTCGACGCAGGGGGCGCCTCTGGTAGTCTGAGTGGCACAGTCAGGGAAACCGAGGCCAGAGAGCGGGAGCGGTGAGGCCCGGCCTCCAGGCTGTCTCGTGGGCCTCTTCAGGGCCATGGTCGCCATCCTTGGGTGCCTAGGACGGGGCTCCAGCATCGGGAGTGGTTTTCAGTGACAGCAGCAGGAGCCACCATTGATTTTACGTCCGCCGGGTGCTGAGCCCGGTGCTAACCCTCTACTGACGTCCTTTCCCTTCACCTTCACAGCAGCCCTGCGAGGTGAGTGCTGTTATTAGCGCCATTTACACGGGTGGAAACTGAGACCGGGGCGAGGGGAAGGGACTTGTTCAGAATCAGCTAGCTAACTAGTGGGTCAGACGAAGTCTAGACAAAAACATTTTTTTTTTTTTTAAGATTTTATTTTTTAGTAATCTCGACACCCAATATGGGGCTGGAACTTTCAACCCCGAGATCAAGAGCTGCATGCTCTACCGACTGAGCCAGCCAGACTGAATATCTTGACTGCACTACCTCCCAGGAGGAGGAGGAGGACCTTGGCTAGATAGAGTCTATTGACACTCTCAGGTGTCTTGCACAAGTGACTTTGGAGCCACTTAACTCTTTGGGGCCTGTGTTACTATGGACCTCTGGGTCAAAGACTTCCTTCAGAGGTTGGCAAATTCCAGTTGTAAGTGTAATAATATTTATAATATTAACATGTAATTATATCATAGTATGTTGTGAATGTAATAAACATAATTATAATAGTATTTTAGGCTTAGCATAGGAGGCCTGCTCTGTCTACTTAGTTCTGGCATTGTTTTTGTTTTTTAATTTTTTTTTTTAATGTTTATTTATTTTTGAGGGAGAGCGAGAGAGCGGGTGCGCTGGCTGGGGGCCTGGGGGTGGCGTGCAGAGGGAGAGGGAGACACAGAATCTGAAGGAGGCTCCAGGCTCTGAGCTGTCAGCACAGAGCCCAATGTGGGGCTCGAACTCACGAACTGTGAGATCATGACCAGACATGACCTGAGCTGAAGTCGATGCTTAATGCTCAATGGACTGAGCCACCCACGCACCCCAGCTCAGTTCTGGCATTGTGTAGTGGATACATGCAGAGACAATAGGTACACCAGTGGCAGTATTCCAATAAAACCTTATTTATGGACACTGAAATTTGAATTTTATGTAATTTTTATATAATTTTCATGTGTCACAAATTTTTTCATCCATTTAAAAATGTCAAAACCATTCTTTGCTCCTGGGCTGTATGAACACAGTAGGCGAAAGCCTCCTAGGGTAGAGGAAAGTGGGACCCAGCGAGGGGCCTCTTATGCCACAGCCAGGTAGTGCCACAATGTGGCCCAAGACCTAGGCCTCCTGACTCCCAGACCAGAGCATGTCAGGAAACACCACTGCTTATCACTGACTGGGTCAGGGTGCCGAGGTACTCAAAGTGTGCTGTTCTTTATGTGTTCTTAAGGTTGTGGAAACCATAGCCTAAAGAGTTTGGAAATTTGTGAGGTTAAACTCCTGAATGTGCTATTCTGGGATAATATGATTGCTGGGCTGGGAGGCTGAGAAATGAATAGATATTTTCTTTCTTTATTCAATAGCTGCTTTTTTTTTTTCCTCCTGCTAGTGGGTTTCTGGGGTTTGTGGTGAACAATACAGACATGGTCCCCATCCTCACAGTCCTTACAGATGATGAATACATAATCTCAAATGGCTATTTCTTTTTATATTGTTTATTTTAAACTAATTTTAGGTTTAGAGAAGAGTTGCAACAATAATACAGAGTTTCCTTCTGTCCATCACCCTCCTTTCCCTAATATTCACATCTTACATAATCATGATGGAACTATCAAGAACAGGAAACTAATATTGGTGCAGTTTTATTAACTCAGCCATTAACCTAGTATGAATATCACCAGTTTTGCACAATGTTCTATTTTTCATTCTGTGATCCTATCTAACTTCTCATTGCATTTAGTAATTGCTCCTTCATCCTTAATTACTTAGTCTTGTCTTTCTTGGTCTTGACATTTTTCAAGAGTACTGATCAGTTATTTTGCCTAATATCCTTCAACTTGGATTTGTCTCATATTTTCTCGTGATTGGAGTGAGGCCATGCATTTTTGGCCAGAATGATACAAACATTGTGTTGTCCTCAGTGTGTCATATCAAGGAGTTCAAGATGCTGATAGGTCTTATTACTGGTGATGTTTGTCTTGATTGCTTGGTTTAGTTGGTATCTGCTAGGTTTCTATACTATAAACTTACTATCTTTCTCTTTCTAGTTAGTAAGCATCTGTGTCAATGGATCCTCACCATTTTTTTGGAGGATTTACTTATTTTCTGGCACCACAAGATGTTCCAGGCTTATCTTTTTTTTTAAATTTCTTTTTCATGTTTGTTTATTTATTTTGAGGCAGAGAGAGAGACAGAGCATGAGCACAGGGGAGGGGTAGAGAGAGGGAGAGGGAGAATCCCAAGCAGACTGCACTTTCAGCGCAGAGCCTTACACAGGGCTTGGATCATGAACTGCGAGATCATGACCTGAGTCTAAATCAAGAGTTGGTTGCTTAACCCACTTAACCAGCTGAGCTACCCAAGCGCCCCTGTTCCAGGCTTATCTTGTGTACTCTCTACCCCTATTCTGGAATCGTAATTCTTTGTTATGTCCTTCAGTGTGGTTATGTAATTTGTAATGCAGTAGGTTCATTGTTAATGTTTATATTACATTTTGGGTTCCCCCTGGAACTTAGTTGGTTTTAATTATTTTTCGAGTGGGAAACATGACTGTGCTTCTAAGAGTAAGAAAGAACTGTAACAAAGGTATACTCTGGAAAGTGTCACTCACTCTCCTGCTCCTGCCACCTTGTCCCTGTTCTCCTCCACCTTTCACCCCTTTCCCACTTATCCCCTGCAGCTAACTGATCTCTTTGGTGTCTGGATTATCCTTTCTTTTGCACAAATGAATAGATGGTCATGTAATTTCTTAGCTCCTCTTCTTTTATATATGAAAGGTGGCATGCTAAAGATAATTGTGTTTCCTTTTGTCACTTAACAATGTCTTGAAAATCCTCCTGTATGTGTTCATAGAGATCTTATTCATTTTTTAAAAGTTTTATTGAGATAAAATTTGCCTATTTATTGAGATAAACTTTACATACAATTCAGTGGTTTTTAATATTCATAGAGTTGTGTGAGCATCACCACAATCAATTTTAGAGCATTTTGTCACCCCAAAAAGAAACCCTGTACCTGTTAGAAAACTTCTCACTGTCTCCCCCCTATGTCGAGGTGGTCACAAATACTTTCTGTCTATATAGATTTGCCTTTCCTGGATATTTCTTATTAATGGGATCATGCAAGATGTGGTCTGTGACTGGCTTCTTTCACTTAGCATAATGTTTTCATGGTTCATCCTGTTGTCAGTGTTCATTACTTTTTATTTATCCATTTGTCAGTTGATGGACATTTGGGTTATTTCTATTTTTGGTTATTATGAATAATGCTCTATAAACGTTTCCTCATTAATTTTTACAGCTACATATTACTTCATTGTGTGGATGTACCATAGTTTATTCATCCACTACACTATCTGTAGTCATTTAGGTTGTTTCCAGTCTCTTGAAATTACAAACAATGCTGGAATGAATAACCCCGTGTGTATGTATTTCATATTATTGGAGGTACATCTTCAAGATTGATTCCTAGAAGTGGAGTTGTTGGATTGAAACGTCAGGGCATTTGTAGTTTTGTTAGCTCTTGTCAAATTCCCCTCGAGAGTGGTTGTGCTAGTTGGCAATCCCATCAACAGTGTATGAAAATAATGCCTGTTTCCTGACAACCTCTCCAACAATTAAAATTTGTTAACTTTAATTTAATGACTTTAAATTTTAGTTAGTTAACATACAGTGCAATATTGGTTTCAGGAGTAGAATTAAATGATTCATCACTTACATACAACATCCAGTGCTTATCACAACAGGTGCCCTTTTTGTTTTTAAAATTTTTTAATGTTTATTTACTTTAGAGAGAGAGAGAGAGAAAGACAGAGCACAAACTGGGAAGGGACAGAGAGAGAAGGAGGCACAATCTGAAGCAGGCTTCAGGCACTAAGGTGTCAGCACAGAGCCCGACGCAGGCCTCAAACTCACCAACCCTGAGATCATGACCTGAGCTGGAGTCGGACGCTTAACTGACTGAGCCATGCAGGCACTCCAAGTGCCCTTTTTAATACCACCGCCGCCCCCCCCTCGCCCCCCGCTATCAACCCTCAGTTCTCTATCATTAAGAGTCTCTTGTGGTTTGTTTCCCTTCCTGCTTTTTTTCCCATTAATTTTAATTTTTGCCAGTGATAGTGACAGTATGATAGACATAGTGTCTCAGTGTTGTTTTAATTTGCATTTCTCTAATTATAAGCGGGTGTGAGCATTTTTTCATATGTTTGATAGCCAGTTGAATGTCTGTTTTTGTTGATTGTTTACTTATTTTCCCTATTTTTCTAGTTTTTTTTCTTTGCTTATTGTATAACGTACTTAATGTGAAATTTAATTTTTGAAGTATTTTTAAGTGTACAGTTTGATGACATTAAGACATCAACACTGTTATGCAACCATTACCACCATCCACCTCCAGAACTTTTTTCCATCTTCTGAAATTAAAACCCTGTACCTGTTAAACACTCCCTGTTCCTCCCCTCCCCCAGCTCCTGGCAACCACCATATTACTTTCTGTCTCTATGAATTTGACTGCTTTAGGTACCTCACGAAAGTGGAATCATACACTGTCATTTTGTGCTCGCTTATTTCACTAAGCATAATGTCTTCACGGTTCATCCGTGTGGTAGCATGTGTCAGAATGTCCTTCCTTTTTAAGGCTGAATAATACTGCATTGTATTTATATACCACATTTTGTTTCTCCATTCATCTATGAGTGGGCACTTACTTGGTTGCTTGTACCTTTTGACTATTGTGAATAATGCTGTGTCTATTAAGTTTTTAAGAGCTCTTTATGTATTTGTCTACAGTATATGTTGCAAATATTTCCAGTTTATCAGTTGACTTATGACTTCTTTTTTCTGATTAAAAATTTTTTTTCTAATTAAAAAATTATTTAATTTTATTGAAGTATAATTGACATATAGCACTATTCAGGTTTAAGGTATATAGCATAATGACTTGACCTATATGTATTGTGAAATGATTACCATAATAAGTTTTAACATCCATCATCTCATCTCATATAGATACAAAAAAAAAAAAAAAAGAAA